GAGCTGCCACCAGCTCGTCTCCCTGCAATTCTGGCTCGTGTCTGGCAAAGAAATGCCAGCCCTAGATCGTGCTCATCTCACCGAGCAGCATGGCAAGGTCAGCGCTGAAAAGAGCTGATTTGGACCCACCAAGGGCAGATTTTCTTTGAGTTCTCTGAAGACATGGTTTGCTTCAAAGTTCCTTAAAGCAGGCAAAAAAACCCCCCAGAAATTAATGTTAATAAAGATTTTTTTTTAAGGAGCCATTGCAAACTTTACAAACTGGCCTTACCTTGGCAAATAGTCAGGGATCCCAAAGGATGCTGGATTTTGTTGGGAATAGATGAGATTTATTTGTCTTTCAGAAGCCTTGGGGACCAGCCCAGCCATTATTCAGTTATTACCCCAATATTAAACTGCTGTGGCGTCCCGGGGGAGGAAAGCCAAGTGCCAGCCTGGAGAGTGAACATGCACACCCAGGGTGCCCATTTGTCACTATTTCAGCAGTGCCTGCTGTGTCTTGTCCAGTCTCAGAGCACCTATTTCCACTTGGGGCTTCAAGCACAGGTCAAAACCCCCGCAAATCTCGTGGGCAGGTGCCCAAGTCCCGCCCCAGCACCTCTCTGCCCCTGCCAGCGAGCACGGCGGTGGAGCTGTGTCCTCGAGGCTGCAGTGGAGCAATGCCAGCCTTTGCCTTCTGGGTCGGCGCTTGTAGCCTTAACGTGGGGTTCATTCGCTGAACTGCTGGGTGTGCAGCACAGGTTTGGGTTTAGGATCCTAAACCCTCGTCGCTTCTCCCCAAAACCATTCCCTCCAGCTGTTCTTGGCCCAGAAGCGAAAACTGAGCCTGCCAGCCCCAGGGGCCAGGCAGCAAGGGGGAGGAATCTGAACTATTTGAGTGGGTTGTTCTTTCTGCTGGTATTTAGGCAGTAAGTTTATTTAGGTGTAACCTTGCTGCCTTGAACCCCTTCTCAGCCATTTGGCCATTTGGAGAAGGTGAGTGACGTTCTGGGCCCCTCACTGTGGCGTGTTTTGGAGCTGGCTGTGGCACAGGACCTCTCCCTGAGCAGACTTCCTCAGGCTGGAGTTAGGCTGGGTACTGTGTCTAAGGGCAGTTCTGAGCTTTGGTGTTTTATCGTTCCACATTATTAACCCAGAGCTTCTTTTGAATTTTCAGTTGCCCAGCGCATCAAGGAGCTTGTGGATCTGAAAAACAAAAAGAACTCAAAATCCAGAAAAAAGAGGAAACAAAACACCGAGGATGAAGGTAAAGGGAGGCGCGGCAGGCAGGGAGCCGAGAGGGAGGACTGCGCTGGCCTCGGGCCGGCGGGGATGCTGAGCTCCGCTGAAAATCAGACCATTTCTTTAAGTGCTTGAACTTAGATTCAGGAAACTTTACTGCAGGTGGCTGGTGTGAGAGGTTTGACCAGAGCGTAGCTCAGCAGCGTGGGCAGCAGCTGGGCAGCGCACAGGACAGCAGCAGTGCGGTGGCAGGGGGGACCCCTTTCACTCACCGGTGTGTGAGAAAAGGGGGTTTGGTTTGGTTTTGTTAATTCAGCTGGTCTGTGTGTGCCACAGTTTCCTGTAGCACAATCAGGTGGCAAAACCGTATGAGCCACCGTGTTGAAAAAAAATCTGTCTCAACTGTAGTAATGGATTTTGTAAACCACCATCCTACCTGAGGACCTTTAGGGAGGGCACTGATACCTGGCAAGGAACACTGCCTTTTTCTCTCCAGTATTGGCTTCCCCTTGTCTGCATTTTCTGGACTCTGCAGTCCAGGGCTTGCAATAGCATCTCTGCCGCGTTAACAAGAGCTCACGTATTCCTTCAGCCTCAGGTTTTAACTGCTGGCTGCGGGGTAAAACTTTATCTGGCTAAAGTCTTGCTAGACAAAGTCCATTCAATGATTTTTTTTTTTCCTTTATATTACTCTCAGGAAACTTGAGCCAACCCTGTGAATTCTTATCAGGCAGCAGTTTATATCAGGTGGCCTCTGTGTTTTTAATCTGGGAGAGCTAGAGTCCAGCTTCCTCATTGCTGAGCCCTACCTGACGCCAGCAGGAAACACAGACAGGGCCGCTGCTCCCCCAGGCAGCTGCCAGCGCCGGGGGTGGCTGAGGAGGCCCCTTGGTCACGGCCCCTGCAGTGAGAGCGTCTGTCGCTTCTCTGTCTGCACTGGGATTCGGAGCAGAGACCTGAAATTGCACAGAGGGACTGTATTTCTGGTAGGGATGTGGGTTCTTTCCTTTCCTGTTTGGGCCCAGGAGAGCTCAGCCCATTCTGAGCCTTCGAGAAGTCATTTTGCTCGTCCTCGGAGCAACTTTGATATCTTTACGAGACAGCTCCCCGGGGATTGCTCTGCACGGGGTGTGCTCTGTCTGGGCTGAGCAAGCTCCTCTGTGCAATTGCTCCTCTGTATTGTGTGTGCTGGGAGTTGTGCTTAGGAAGATAGAGGTAGCTTTTACCTCAGAATAAAAAAAATAATTT